TATTTAAATCACTGCTTGACCCATTAACTCTAGCTTCTTAATGGCTAACTCATACATATTAGTTTAACCCATCTCCATTAATCTGTACATCAGCATGAGGTTGTGGCCTAACAGCAAGGTTTCAGCACGCCTATAGGGAAACTGCTCCATGACTTCTTTTTGACTCTGCCTCCTTTCTCCCAGCATTCTGTTTAGTTTTCCCCAACTAGCTCTGTTCCCCTATAGCTCTGCTATAGTCCCAAAGCAGTTACTTTATTAACCAATAATATTTACAGCATACAGAGGGGAATCCCACATCAACTGACAACTTCCACTCTTCACCACCTTGGGGGGGGGTCTCCCCAGAAATAATTAAAATCTGGACTCCGAGAACTAGGTGCATTAAGTTAAGTAAGCCAAGGAACAGCTGTAATTTGTTTTGCCCGTGCTCTCTACAACCTTCTGAACAAGATAAATAAATAAATAAATAAATAAATAAATAAATAAATAAATAAATAAAAAACAGAAGTAACAATCATTACTGCATTGTACTTGGAGAGCGGAAGCGGCATGAGACCTTGGGTCATGGGGGAGAGGAAGATAGCACAGAGGTCCTCGGAATACTGATAGCCAATACTAGACCCGAAACCTACTGTAGTTTTTCAAACATCATATCCTAATCTCAAGCACAGCCATTGTCATGTATGTCAACTGTACCGTGCAAAGAACTCAAACAGAACTCATTCTTAAGGCAAATGTAAAAAGACAAGTTAGATGGCTCAGTTGGTAAAAGTTCTTGCCACTGCATCTACCCACTTAACTTTGATTTCCAAAACCTACAAAGTGGAAGAAGAGAACCAAAAGCAATTTTGCATTATTGTTAAAAGATACGATATTAATATATAGGTCAATTCTGGTAGCTTTCTAATTTTCATCCTGAGACTAGATTCCAAAAGACAGAATTTCTAATGGCTGGAGATGGAAAGTCAGAACTACAGCAAAAAGAAGACAAACTTCTAACTGTTGGGAATATTATGTTAAGGTGTGTTACTTTGTTTATGTTGCATTTGTTTAACTCTGTGAAGCTGCGATGCTTTGCCGGTCTAGAACACCTTATGATCTAATAAAGATCTGAATGGCCAATAGCGAGGTGGGAGAAAGGATAGACAAAGCTGGCAGGCAGACAGGATATATTGAAAGAGAAATCTGGGTGGTTTGGAGGAGTAGCCAGAGAAGGAGGAGGAGATCAGAGGCCAGTCATCCAGCTACAGAGTAAAAGTAAGATTAAGAGAACGGGAAAAACCCAGAGACCAAAGGTAAATGGGATAATATAAGAAAGCTGGCAAGAGCCAAGCCAAGCTAAGGCTGGACATTTGTAACTAAGAACAAGCCTCTGTGTGATTTATTTGGGAGCTGGGTGGCGGACCCCATAAAATAGCAAAAAGAGCAAAACCATCTTACTACTACTATACCTAATATTCCAAAAGAGTTCCCCAGACAAACCACAGAATTCACCTGTGTTTGGATTAAGGGACTGCTTTTCATAAATAAGGGTTAGGAAGGTACCACCCATCTCAATTTACTGTCTCTAGGACAAGTGCTTCAACAGACAAAATTAACACTGATTTAATTTAAAAATTAGAAAGAGAATCAAAGGAGCTGTGGTTTAAAGACTACGCAGCTTGCCAAATGTTAAACTTGCCTCTCTACTTGGCTAAAGAGGCAGGAGGACTGTATTCTCCAGCCAGCGGATTTGCTTAGAAATGCAAATAATTTCTGACAAAAGCCACACCCAGATGCAGCTCCATCCAGATTATTCCTGAATGGAACTCTGTGCTGTCAGCTCAGGACTTCTGAATATGCCCTCAACACAATCCAGGGGACAGTTTCTACGTTCAGGAAGCTGGGAGAAGCAGGTCAATAGATATCAACAATGTGTTTTATGTTGTTTTAGAATAGTGGTTCTCAACTTGTGAGTCATGACTCCTCTGGTGTCAAAGGACTTTTTCATAGGGGTCGCATATCAGATATTTACATTGCCATTCATAATAGTAGCAAAATTGCAGTTATGGAGTAGCAATGAAATCATTTTATGGCTGGGGGTCAACACAACATGAAGAACTTTATTAAAGGGTAGCAGCGTTAGGAAGGTTGAGAACCACTGTTTTATTGCTCCTTCCATTGATGAAGGTGATCTTCTTCATTGAATATATTGACTGTGCTTTGATTTGATGGAGTGTTTGGTGCTTCATATAAAGCTATGTCCAAAAAGAGAATCAAAATCAGAAGAGTCAATGTAGGTTAGGCTGGGAGGACAAAGACATTCTAGAACCGGATACTCACTTGACAGTTATTTGTTGGACAGCTGAAACCCATCAGCCCTAAGGGATGGAAAACTGACTTTGGTATTTTTAACAGTGGCCATGAGTCATTTCTCATAGTTTCCTCGGAAATACCTTATAAATTCTGGCAGACGTTAGGAAAAAAAACCTACTAGATTAAAGAGAAACACAGAGACACCCAGTGGGTTGATGAAAATGTTAACTGGCAAGACTTGAGAGAGGGCTCAGTGTGTAAAGCTGTTTGTACCGAGCTTGAGTTGCATCCCCAGGATACAGATGGTTGATAAAGATACCCAACTGCCAGATTATCCTCTGACCTCCATATAGTAGTGTGCATGTGCACACACTAAATAAACAAGTGAAAATAATGTCTCTTGAAAACACAATGGCCAGGGGGACACTTGATATGTACTCAGGGATGTCTGCATTACTTCTGCTCATAATTTTGAGTAAAAATTAGCAGCCTAGATGTCCATCAATACATAAGTGGATAAACTGTCGTGAACCTATAGCTTTAATTTTACCCAGCTGTAAAGAAACATGAAATTATAATATTAAAAAAAATGGGTCACTGTGTTAAGTAAAATGAACCATTCAGACTCAGAAAGACAAATTGCATTTTCTTCTGTGTGCGGAGTCTACATTTCAGTTTACACACACACACACACACACACACAGAGAGAGAGAGAGAGAGAGAGAGAGAGAGAGAGAGGATATGAAAGTGGAAAGGGAACCTGAGAGGGAGAAGTCTGTGTAAAGGGAAGGGGGAAGGAAGGAACACAAGAATAGAAAGGGAAGTATGGGGAGGAATGGAGGGATAACAGACCTAATCAGGAAGGACAGTGTGGGGAACTAATAAGAACAATATAATGACATACAGATGTGAATGTATTTCTTTGTATGTTAAAAATTAATTTGAGGATAATCAAACTTTCTTTTCTTTTTTTCTTTTTTTGAGACAGGGTTTCGCTGTGTAGTCCTAGTTGTCCTGGAACTTGCTCTGTAGACCAGGCTGGCCTCGAACTCACAGACATCTGCCTTGCCTCTGCCTCCTGAGTGCTGGGATTAAGGGCATGCCCCACCACTATAAAAATAGGCCTGAGAAGAACCCTTAAAGGAAGGGTCTCAATCAACCAAAAGTGTTAACTGTTTTTAACATTTCTTTAACATTCCATCCACCCCTTCAGCGACCACCCCAGAGACACCATTCAGACAGAGCCTATTCTGCTGCTGAGCACACCCACAGAACATGGGACCCCTCACTGTTCCCTCCAAATCACTACCCCTTTCAAATGGGTAAAGGACCGAGAATCTGCCTTTATAGGTTAAATGATGTATATTTTACTCAAACAAGAAGATAAAATGCTTCTTAAAATTCCCAAGAAACAACTAATGCATACATTACAGCTGAGGGGTACTCAACAGTGTATCCCCATGAACTAAATACTCTGCTATTTGGGCAGATGGAACAGATAACTTACATATAACTTACATCCAGTTAATTTTCCTGGTTGGCTCCAATAGCTGCCCCTGCCTTCGAATAAAGAGGCTCTAACATAACAGGGTGGTTCTCAACCTGTTGGTCCCGACCGTTGGGGTCCAGCGACCCAGGGTTAGCCCAAGACCATTAGAAAACCCAGATATTTGAAAAAGTTTGTAATAGTAGCAAAATTACAGCCATAAAGTAACAACGAAAATAATTTTATAGTTGGGGGTCACCACAACATGAGGAACTGTATTAAAGGGGTGCAGCGTTAGGAAGGTTGAGAACCACTGCTCTAACGGGATCAGCGTACTGCTCAGACATTAACGTGCTTAAAACGATCTAAAAAACATTTCCAGCAGAGTCTGCTTACAGAACACATTTGTAAAGTTCAATTTAGCACCCACCAGGGACACACACACACACACACACACACACACACACACACACACACACACACACAAGTGCCCATTCGGAACACTACTTAAAAATTGAAACCGGAAGTCAAACATTCAAGTGTTAATTTGTCTGCTCTCCCAGACCGTGTTGACCTTGACGGAAACTCAAATTAACCTCATTTCTGAAAACACTTTTAAAACTCAAGACTTTGTTTAATTTACAGCGGCTAGCTGGATGTCTGGTAAGCAGCGGGCTTACTAGCGACTAAACACTCATTTAGGGAAGGCAGACCAGCCCCTCCCCCCTAGACTAACCCAGAGTGGTTTTTTTCAATCCTCTAAATCAGATTCTGTTTCTTGAATTGCTGCTTCATTGTGAAGTTTTAAACTTCAGTTATTCACAGCACTTCGGGGTAGGTTGTTACGGGGAGTTCTGGAAAATTGTACATTTTGTGTGTATTTCCCTTGAGGCTTTTAGCGAACACTCAAGTTATTCTGATAAGAGAATATGTCTAAAGAGGCTAAATGGCATCAATGCAATATTTAGAAAGCCCTCTCCTCCCCCACCCTCCAGTATAAAGGTGTTTTACCAGTTCTCGCCCCCCCTCCCTCCTTGACATCCCGCGCAGCCAACGTGAAGCCCCACGACAAAAACCAGTGAGGTGGGCTCTCAAAATTCTGACATCATCAGCAAGGATGCATCCTAAGTCTGAACCGGAGGACGCGCATCCGGGTCCCGGTCACCGCCCAGAGGCCAGGAGCCACCGTTCCCACCTTTCCCAGCAAGAAGAAACTAACCCTAGGGCGGAGAGGGGCGCATGGGGGCCGGGACCGCAGGGCGATAGGAAGCAAGCAGTCTTCTCCACGCACCTCCGGGGCCAACGGGCACACGTGTGTGGCCACTCACCAGCAGTCCTGCGTGTCGGGTGTTCGCGTGGGATGGCGACTGTGGCGGCTGCCCCTGCGCGGGCCGCGAGGCTCGGGCATCCGTGTGGCTGTTGCAGCCGGGGCGGCGGTGGTTGCTCCGCAAGGCACCGGTGCTTGGTGACTGTGGCACCAGGCTGGGAGGCGCCCGCGAGCTGGTCCGGGCCGTGCCTCCTCTTGGTTCTCTCTGCTCGTGGTCTGACGAGCTCTGCTGCCTTCCGTGGCTTGGGCTCGTTCTTGGTGGCGGGACAGCCCCAACGCCTTTGCAAACCCACGCCGCACGGCCGGTGACCTCTGAATCTGTGGCGGCTCTCTCTGCGGCAGCAACGCGGAGAAAGAAATTGTCGCTGCGACGGTCCGGGCCTCCCCTGCCCCGGCCCCTGGGTGCCGCCTCCGCCTCTGCCTCCGCCCCCTCCTCCGTAGCTACAGCCTCCCACGTGCTGCAGAAAAACCTCCGGGGTGGCGGGTCCCTGCGGATCTCTTAGGGCCAGAGTGAAACGGTTGCCTGTGGTTCATCCCCTAGATAACCTGCACGCTCGCTGCCCGAGGTTGGACGGTCCAGCGAACCACCAGCGTCTCCTAGAAGCAGGGGAATAACTGGGCGATTTCAAAACTGCAGAGTACACAAGCCATGATGATGCAGCCGGATTTGCCGGTGGAATGGCTCCGGATATAGGATTACAGCTTATGTAGAAATCCCATTTTGAGATTTGTCTGTGACTAAGCGCTCCCGCCACGAAACACTCTCTGTCTCTCCCCGCCTTCATGAGATAGTAAAATACCAATGGATAACTCCTCATTATTACTATTACTCATATTACATTATCATCATATGCAGTGTCTTTAATATGGCCATGCACCTGTGCCAGACACACGCTACGTGCATTCTTACAGTCCCGTGTATAAAAATTGCATATTACATTTCCTTGAATAAGACATAAAGTTAAATTATTTATCTACGATTTTTTTTTAAAACTCAGCTGCAGAGTAGTAGAAGATGTACTTTAAATCTGAGAGTGTGGAAGAAAGAAGAGGGAATGAAGGAGTTGGGAGAAGTCACTGTGATTTGACATCTGTGCTGGCTAGTTTTATGGTTACTTGGCACAAACTAGAGTTATCTGAGAGGAGAGAAACTGAATTGAGGAAATGCCTCCATAAGGTAGGTCTGCAGGCAGGCCTATAGGGCATTTTCTTAATTATTGATCCATGTACAAAGGCCCCGCCGACTGCAGGTGGAGCCATCTTCGGGCAGATGGTTTTAAATTCTACAAGAAAACTTACTGAACAAGCCATGAGAAGCAAGGCCCTAAGCTGCGCTCCTCCACGACCCCGGATTGTTGCTGTGTTTAAGTTGCTTCTATGACTTCCTTCGCAAATGGACCATGCAGTGGCAGTGAAGTAAACCCTTTCCTCCCCAAGTTGATTTGGTCATGGTGCTTTAGCACAGATATGGAAACCCTAAGACTACATCAAAACTGCTTCTTTAAGGGAGCAGATCCTACCAACTCCCCAACATATTAGGAACTGGCTGCTACAGATGAGACTGGGGGTCTTTTCTTGAATTTAGCTGGGAGGAAAGACCACAGGCAGGGCAAGGGCGCTGGCTTTCTTGATTGCATTTCCTTTGGAAACGAAACTTGCAACCCTGACTCTGTCATCTTCTGAACTGTTTGGCTCACCATTGCCACCTTTTAAGGGGGCACCACCCTACTGTGGTATAAAAGTAGTCTTGGTTTTGAAGAGGCAGTGGCGTTGGGTTTTGTCGTTTTGCTTTGTTCCAAATATCAAAACCAGGAAATTCCCCGCATATTTACATTTTTAAATTCTATATTTTAATTTGCCATGGGAGGAATTAAACCCAGAGCTTCAAGAGAACTAAGGATGAGTTCTATCTAGCCTTGAGCTCCAGAACCCCAAAATTCAGATTTGTAGAGTTTTTTTAAAAAAAGTTTTAAGACGGTCCACCAGCTATAGCTGAGTAACTTGTGGTTCCTTCACATTCTTCAGTTTTCCACAGTGTAGAGGCCATCTGTCCTGTGGATGCCCGCACTTCAATGGCATTTGAAGACTTCGTAGGCATTTGTTTCTAATATTCTGGAAGGAATATTCTTCTCTACTATACAATATGCATCCTGGTAATATGCATTCTGTAACTCTACCTATGTATTTGTAACAGTGACTGGTCATGCGACTTACCGCCTAGTCGCATGCAAAAGCAGAGTAGGGTGGTGCATGCCTGTAGTTCCACATAATCAGAGTCTGAGGTGGGAGGACTCACTTGACTAGAGATCTCCGGGTCAGCGTAGCCAGCAGGGAAAAAAACCTGTCTCAAAGCAAAAATAGTATTTTTCAGAGGGTTCAGAGGGTAAAGATGATTGCTGTCGTGCTTACAGACCTGAGTTTGGTCTCTCCTACATGGTAGAAGGAAGGACCAGCTCTTAGAAACTGTCCTCTCATGTCCATGGGCACATGTGTGTGCTCTCACGTCTGCACGTATGCACACAAAATAAATGAGTAAATAAATAAATAAATGTTGAATTTATTTTTTTTTTTTTTGGTAAAAAACGTGAGACAATATGTTCTGCCCTCATATCCTCATTTTGGCAGGCAGGACACTATTATCTGACTTAAAGTCAACTGTTCAGAGGCTCCTAGCTGGCTTTGGATCTAGATTTTGTTATTTAAAAACTTTAGAAAAATATCTATTATCTGTGAAGGGGCACCCCAGGGTGACAGGGATACTGCTGTTCTACAGAGGCTGTGCCAGTGCTGTCTAAGCGGGCTGTTTCTGATTTCAAATGTGCCTGTTTGGTGTGCAGCTTGATACTTTTCTGTACCTTTCCAGGGAAGTTAGGCACTTTATGAAGAGGTGCTACAAGAGTCTAGAATTTTTATTTTATTTTATCTTAGATTTCAAATTTAATCCATGTTATAGTTTTTTAAAAATCCAGTTTCAAGATCACACCAAAATCTACAAATCTAAGGGGAAATTGAAGAGGGAGATCGAGAGAGAGAGGGGGGGGGAGAGAAATCTATAACCCCAGCTATTCAGGAAATTAGGAGTGGAGGGTCTCTAGCTGAACGCAAGGCTGGGCTGCAAAGTTCAAAGCCAGTGGACCAAATTTGTGAGATCCTTTTTCAAATAAACAATAAAAAGGAGAGTCAGTGGCAAAGCAGTGGTTTAACATGCATGAGGCCCTAGATTCAGCCTCTAGTGGCACATTGCATTTTTTAAAAAATAAAAATTTAATAAATCATGTCAGCAGAGTTGCTTGTTTATAGATAACCATTTCTATATTGCTGGCTAGGGCACAATTAAAGGAGCTCCCTCATCTGGGGGTGCCATTCTTATATGATTGATGGGAAATGAATTTTTCTGTATGTTAACAAAAAGTCTAAATTGCACATGCTCCTCTCCCCTGTAATGCCATTTCTAAGAAGGAATGTATCCAGGTAGAGTCTGAAGTGAGGAGTGAGAGTTTCTCATTGAGCTATCTACGAGTAACTGTGGGAATCACAACATTTATGGTGCTCTTTAAGGATGTTGGAACTGCTGCTGAGACGATGTTAATCAAACGGGGTCACAGAATTGCTATCCATGTAATATCAAGTGTATAAAAATAATTCCTTAAGAGCCGGGCAGTGGTGTCACATGCTTTTAATCCCAGCACTTGGGAGGCAGAGGCGGGTGGATCTCTGTGAGTTCGAGTACAACCTGGTCTACAGAGTGAGTGCCAGGACAGACAGGTATTTTACACAGAGAAACCCTGTATGAGAAACAAAAAACAAACAAACAACAACAACAACAAACCCAGAAAAACAAAAAACAAAAAAATTAAAACCTCCTAGATATTAGTTAGGACAGTTATTGTCTCCTTTATACCAAATCATATTTTCATTTTTTTCTATAAAGCTCACAATTTTCTTTTATTTAAGAAGGAGAATTTAATAGTTAAGAAGTAAGTTAGATTGGCAGCCAGATGCTGGTGAGACGGTGCTTGTTCTGGTACCTGGTTCATGAGAGGTGCATCACGAATATATGGGAAAGGAACAAAAGAAATGAAGGGAAGGAGAAAGGAAGGGAGAAGGAAAGAAACAAACATTGTATCACAGAGAGCCATGAATTAGGGATGCGACTCCTTGTCCTTTGCTTAGCTGCTGGCATTCATAGAAACAGGGCAGTGCACTCCAAATTGCTTCATTGAGCAACACCACACTTCCGTATTTCCCAACTCATGACAAATGAGTCCATCTGGATGCGTAATACAGCCAGATGCAGATTTTTCCTGCTCCACAACATCCGAGATGATCTGTCCTAAGATGTGGAACAGCCCCAGCATGCTGGTTTTCAAAGCCAAATGGTCTCTTCCAGCCTCCGGTTATAACCCAGAGATCTGCACGCTAGTTAAGGAACCGGGATGCCAAGAACCTGAAGTGGTCACTAAATTCCCTGTTTGTTGGGATCTTGTCTCTTGGAACTGGCAGTCCGAAGTATGCTGGGCTACATTTGCCTTAGTCGGGATGTTAAACTGTTTGTGTCCTACTCCAACAGTTTGAGTTATGGACAGAAAGTGGTGGTCTCTTGGCTCAGCCCTGCGCAGTGGCTCCAGACTGGCTGGAGTCCTTGTACTTGATTGTAGATTTAGAATTTCCTGGCTCTGGCTTGTGTTTAATGTCAAATTTGAGGAAAAAGGCAAGCGCCAAAACATCCAACTGACTCTACTTGAAGACTTGAGAATACTGTGTACTCGGAAGTAATGAGAACCTTCTAGAAAGCATTCATTCCTATAGTTCTGCTTTTGCAGTCATTTAGACCAGAAAATCCTTTCAGTCAACAAACTTGAAAGGATTTTCATGAAAACACAAAGGCATTAATTGACAGTTTCTCTCTCATTCTCTCACGAGTTTGCAATAGAGAGCTCCAGATCTGTACGTGTGGTGTTGACCCAACTTGAATGCAGATACAGATAGAAAAATCAGGCCATCTCTCAAGCTGGGCAGCAAAGAGATAGAAAGCAGGGTTGGGCGTATAGCTTATTGCTAGTATACTAACTTAGGTCATGTAAGGTCTTGGGTTTGTCTCCACCCTGGCATTGCAAAGAAAAATAAAAACCTAAAGAAATTCTGAGATTAAAAACTTTGAGAGTCACTGGTCTATGCTAAAAAGAATATTTTCCATTTTCAGTTATAGCTAGGGCTGGTTAGCCTGAGCCTCTTAACACAGGAAGAACCATTCAGATCGGAAACCGTGGGCACACTAGACAGTTTCCACATGTGAGCTTTATCTGGGAGGTTTTTTCCCCCTGCTACTTTAAACTCAGACGGTTTTATATTCCTTTGTGCTAGGATTAGGGGCCTGTGCCATCACACCCAATTTTATGTGCTT